GCTTCCACATGATTTTCATCTTTCCTGGCCCAGTGGTTCTGGAGAAGAAGATTTTTAAAGGTTTTTCTTATATATTCCTATAAAAAACTTAGGACGGCCATTATGGCCCCGCCCTTGCCCCTGGGGTCATGATTTGAACAAACTTGAATCTACACTACCTGAGGATGCTTCCACATGAGTTTCATCTTTCCTGTCCTAGTGGTTCTTGAGAAGAAGATTTTTAAAGGTTTTTCTTATATATTCCTATAAAAAACTTAGGACGGCCATTATGGCCCCGCCCTTGCCCCTGGGGTCATGATTTGAACAACTTGAATCTACACTACCTGAGGATGATTCACATGAGTTTCATCTTTCCTGGCCAAGTGGTTCCGGAGAAGAAGATTTTTAAAGATTTTTCCTATATATTCCTATGTAAAACTTGGGTCGGCCATTTTGGCCCCACCCTTGCCCCGGGGGTCATGATTTGAACAAACTTGAATCTACACTACCTGAGGATGATTCCACATGAGTTTCATTTTTCCTAGCCCAGTGGTTCTGGAGAAGAAGATTTTTAAAGGTTTTTCTTATATATTCCTATATAAAACTAGGGTCGGCCATTTTGGCCCCACCCTTGCCCCTGGGGTCATGATTTGAACAAACTTGAATCTACACTACCTGAGGATGCTTCGACATGAGTTTCATCTTTCCTGTCCAAGTGGTTCTGGAGAAGAAGATTTTAAAGATTTTTCCTGTATATTCCTATGTAAAACTTGGGTCGGCCATTTTGGCCCCACCCTTGCCCCGGGGTCATGATTTGAACAAACCTGAATCTACACTACCTGAGGATGATTCCACATGAGTTTCATCTTTCCTGCCCCAGCGGTTCTGGAGAAGAAGATTTTTTAAAAATGCCATTAATTTTTAACAAATTCATGATAATCTCCCCTTGGAAAAGGGCGTGGCCCTTCATTTGAACAAACTTGAATCCCCTTTACCCAAGGATACTTTGTGCCAAGTTTAGTTGAAATTGGCCCAGTGGTTCTTGAGAAGAAGATGAAAACGTGAAAAGTTTACGACGACGACAACGACGAAGACAGACAACGGACAAATTTTGATCAGAAAAGCTCACTTGAGCCTTCGGCTCAGGTGAGCTAAAAATGTAGACATAGACTTAAATCACAGGAGGACTTCCATGACAGTTTCAATAGTCCTCGCCCACTGACGTCAAACACATAGGCAGCCGCACGAGATTTACATGCATATTTGGCCTCCTTAGCGTCAGACACAGAGACAGATGCGCACGAGATTTGCATGCGTATTAGGCCTCCTTAGCTCCTGACCTATCGACCTGCCTAATTTACATTCCGGCAGAATTATCAAGAAATAAACTCCGACAACTTTCAAAGAGTTATCACAGAGAAAAAAAATTAGAAATGGAAATATTTATTTATACATTTTTTAAGACCTTGGCATGGCGCGGCATTGAGGTTTGCGCTGTAGTACTATGACGTCATAAACGCTAATTGTTTTCCGCACCATCGGACTTTGCGTTTCAAACAATCGGGGTTTGGCGCAGACCATCGGATTTTGGCGTAAACATCGGACTTTGGAGTCCTACATAATATATACATGTCTCACATTCTTATGTCAATGAAGTGAAAAGGTCCACACCCCATGTTTGTGTCTAAGGCCACAAAACGAACATAATTCCATAAACCATTGTAAAGACTGTGTGGGTGTTACCGTTTATCCATTCATCTTTTTATTAACTTAAAGGGAGAAACATAATAATAAACTGATTTATTTAATGATGAGTCTGCTTAGTCTCACACTAAGGGTACCAAGGCAATAATGATACCAGTAAATGAAATGAATCAATGTCACGGACCCCGTTTAAATCCCTGCTTAATTGAATATTATTTGAATGACTGCTGCACTGTTTCTAAAAAACGGTAGTTCTTTTCACTACTTAAAAACTAATCTGACAAGCTTATGCTTGCTTTAGAACCCTCTCTGCACTGCACACTTAGGAGTTCTGATTCTAGGGTATTTTTCTGCAGTTAGAATGATCTGTCCTTAGATCTAAGATCTAATAAAAAATATTACAGTAACTCAAATTGTAATCGATTCAAGTATCCTTAACATTTAAAAAGGTGATGATTCATTAACTGAAAATGTAGTGTACTGCCTGATATTGTTAGAACATTTATAGACATTTTATCAAGACGGGATAAGACAACTTTTACTAACTTAAAGGTACATAATGTAATCCTCTCTCAAGCAAATAAGTATGAACATATTTCCATGAAGAGGTATGTAAAAAAAAAAACTGTACACGTTATCCAATGAAGCTGTTCGCTACAGAAAGAAAGCAACACTTGAACACCTTGATATTTGCAGAGTGAATTGTTAATGCAGACTTTCAGGTGAAGAAACAATTAATAATGGTCCTCAGGTAGATATAACCTTATCCCCAAGGGAACATCCCCAGATTAACATCAATTTGTCAACATTTGATTAAACTCATGGAATTTGGAATGACCGTGTTTGTTTAACAGATTAGAGGATTACATTTATGCTATACAAATTTATTATTTCTGGGACGCAGGAACGGCTGATTAACTTATGGTCGTGTCAGGATGTGCACATGGGGCACTGAGATATTATTTTGTTCACATTTCTTTACTGAACATAAGTTATAAGTTTTCAAAATTCGCTTAAAACAAAGTCTTTATGGTTATTATGAGATCTCCATTATCTGTTTTTCATTTCTCATCATATACTCATTAATTATATATATTTACGATTTTATGAAAAAAATTTTAATGAACTGCTTCCGTTAAGAGTAATAGTGCCTTAAAATAATAAATACATTTTTAGGTCACCTGAGTAACTCAGGTGACCTATTGCTATCTGCTTTTGTCCGTCGTCGTCCGTCGTTCGTCGTGTGTTAACATTTGAACATTTTCAGCTTCTTCTCTGAAACCACTGAACCAATTTCAACCAAATTTGGTATACATCATTTATGGGTGAAGGTAAACAAAAATTGTGAATTTTATGGTCCCCGCCCCCCTGGGGCCTGAGGGGTGGGGCCAAAACCACCAAAATTATTGCAATCTTTAAAAATCCTATTCTTTACTCCTGGACATCAAGCAGGCAAACTGTTGGCATGAATGTAATGAGCATTGAGTCCTCTACCAAAATTGTGAAATTCATGGCCTCTTGGTCAGGGGTTTTTGTGCTAGGGCGGGGCTATATAGATTATATAGTGAAAATGCATTATTTCTTTGAAAATCTTCTTCTCTGCTCTTGGGTATTAAGTAAACTAACTAAGTAAATAGTTATGTTGAGCAATAGTGCCTCTACCAAAATTGTGAATTTTATGGCCCCAGGATCAGGGGTTATGGTGTTAGGGTGGGGCTCTTTTGATCATATAGTGAACATGCATTTATTCTTTGAAAATCTTCTCTGCTTCTGGGTATTAAATGAACTAACTAAACACACAGTTATGTTGAGCAAGAGTGCCTCTTCCAAAATTGTGGATTTTGTGGCCCCAGGGTCAGGGGTTCTGGTGTTAGGGCGGGGCTCTATTGATCAGATAGTGAAATGCATTAATTCTTTGAAAATCGTTTTCTCTGCTTCTGGGTATTAAATAAACTAATTTTAAAAGTTCATAGTTATGTTAAGAAAGAGTGCCTCTTCCAAAATTGTGGATTTTATGGTCCCAGGATCAGGGGTTCTGGTATTAGGGTGGGGCTCTAATGATTATATAGTGAAAATGCATTAATTCTTTGAAAATCTTTTCCTTTGCTCCTGGATCTATGCCAATGATCCAAGTATATATATTTATGACGAAGAAAGCTGCATCTAGCAAAATGGTTATTTTTTATGCCCCCTGGTCGGGAGGGGGGAGGGGGGGTTCATAGTCTGAAAAAAATAATGCTTTGAAATCTGCTCTTTAGTATTAATCAACCATTTTATGATAAAATTTGCAAAATTTTGAAATATGTGGCCCCAGGGTGAGTGGTTCCTTTGGGATGAGGTGCACAACTGGTTATAAAGTGGAAGTGCATTTTCTCTTTGTTACTCTGATCTACATCTGGGTATTAGGTAAATAGAGTAAGCATGCAAAGTTTGTAATTATGATAAGCAATATGGTGCCTCTTTCAAAATTGTGAATTTCATGGCCTCTGGTTTAAAACCCGAACCAATTATAATTGTTTGAAAGTTGTTGCACGATACTCAGGTGACCTATAAGGCCCGTGGGCCTCTTGTTATGGATGATATTTGTTCTGAATACATCACAGTTACAAATGACACAATGATTTTTGTTTACTTCCCATTTATAAACTGATATAAGAGAAACTACATTGATACAGAACACAACTTAACAAGCATAAAAATTTTGAAACAAACACACATTTAATAATTTTTGTTTTAAACATGAAATAAAATAGTATATCGGGGGAGGGGGTATTACATTTAATCACTGATATGCTTAATAACCATAACGTATGCAATGTAGTGTTCACAGCCTCAAGATTAATTTATGTAAAATTTGCCAGTGACGTCATTTGACTCATATTAATTTTTACATTGCCTTTTCATTCTCTCCGTCTTTGTTGATTATATAATTGTCCTGGACACACAGCTCATTTCTCCATTAAAAAATCATTAGTTTAAATATTTCGATGCTTGAATAAAACATTATATTATTTCATATTTTGCAAATCTAGCTTCGATATTGAAGGAATTGTGCAAAAAAGACTTGTCAATATAAGTTGGATTACACTTAAACATATGCACATCAAAGGCTATATTGAAGCCTATAAACACACAAAAATATAAAATCTAAACGTTATATTCTAACAGAATACTAAAACCAATACAAATAATACTGTTTTAAAAGAATATAAAATTTTGTTAGTAAACCCTTTATATATTTTATTGTGTAAGAAGTATATGAAGTTTCGTTACATTTTATAAGGGACCTATACATGTATGTACATAGGTCCCTGACTTTATATGATATTTGAAACATGTTTTCGGTGAGCAATCTCTCTTAATGCTTCTCGCTGTTCTTTACCCCTATTTCTATACTTAATGCAAATGATAAACATTCGATACATTAATAAAACCAACATCAGAATATTTTTACATGTGAAGAATATGATACCATAGCTCACAACCTTATACTCGATAATGGCATACAGTCTTAGTGCACAATAAGGCCCGTCCATCAGTAAGAATGAGAGGAAAAGGCTAAGGATCTCAATCCCGAACACTGAACGTTTCCCTTTAACATCATGGTATCTATCTTCAGAAGTTCCCAATCGGATCTTCTTTGGGCTTTTTGCAGCGGTAAGAACGAAAGTAAATTGTAAAAGACTAACAGACCATACCGTTAATGTAGCATACTTTAACGGGGAATTTGTTCGAAACTGTGGCTCATCGAAAACCACAAACAACTCCATGACGTCTGAACCCGATCCAATATAAATGAAGAGCAGTTGAGAAAGTTCTTCGCGTGACAGTGGTCCTAGTGGAAGAAGCATGCGTCCAACAACCAAAACAAAAAGCAAAATCTGCTCTAAGATGGCTACCCATGTATCGGGATCTAGGTAAATGGGAATCTGTATCTGGATTATAAAAACAGACTATACAAGTAAAATTATAAACCATTATTTAAACACAGGACATTTAAGCTCACAAACAGTTATTTAAAAGATAAATATTGATGATTACAAGTTTACATCTACAATTTTTGTCAAAGCTATTTCAAATCTGTAGAAAAGCACTTCAAAAGATAAAAAGTACTTAATAATAAGTATAACATAATTTTTTGAAACATACCCCATCTATAGAAGACAACGCCTCTTGTAAGGAATCGGTCAGATTAGAGATGTTTGTTGTCATCGCTGCATTATATCGGTCTAGTTTATCAATCTGTAGAAACCAAAGAGCAGGCACCGTTCCTCCAAGATAAATCACAAAGCATGGACAAATCCTAATAAACACACGTAAAGAAATACATGTACATGTATAAGAAACAAGTTTATAAGACTTGAAGATTGTTTTTTTTATCTCTATCTGTTAAAGATAATAATATGAGAAAGAACACCAAAATACTTACCATTTTGGATCCCTCCCCTGTCGTTTAATAACGGTATAAATTGTCTCTAGAATTAGAATAACATTGGTGAGAGCCAGGCACCAGTAGAGTTCATCCTTTCTCACGTCAACAGCTCTCCAGACACAGAGAAAGCTATGACAGATCAACAGCATACGAACAAAAATGGCTTGAATGATATCACGGATAATGTGGTGCCATTTATCCTCATCCTCCTTGCTTTTCGATTTATTGGCGTGACTTACTTTTGTTCTTAATTTTTCTGGCTTTAACTGAAAGTGCGGTTTCCTTTGCCGTAGAAAATCTTGTGTCCGAGAATTGTTTCCAATTGCATAGTGTGGAGAAAACGATACAGTTTTAGAAGGTAGTTCTTGAAATAATGGTCCCCATACGTAGTCCAGGTTTTCTGGATTGTTGTCCGTATTACTTTTTGATTTTGTAACCAATTTTGAAGCATTTTTAGGTTGTGCAGCGGGCTGTTTTGTTTCTGAAGTATAATCACCGCGAAGTCTGCACTCCTCGTTTTTCTCATTTAATGATTCATTTGTTGTGGTTGGGTTGGGTTTATCTGATTGCTTCAGAGTGTAATTCTCCGTGGTCTGTTCTTGAGAGGATGTTGTTGATCTGCCACTATCATTTTCCTTTTGGAAATCCTCTTCTGTTTTCACATTGTCAACGTCGGATCTTATTTCACTTTTATCTTCCTCTTCGGAATTTGGGAAATTAAAGTCATCCAGAAATCTTTCGCCTAAATCCGAGCTGTCCTCGTTTGGAACTTCTTTCCCGCTGACTTCGTCTTTGTTCTCAAAAACAGGATTGATGGTCCCGTCATTTAGTCTATTGTTCTCCGACGGCGAAGACACAAGGTCTTCTAAAGACCCACTCGACATAGCTCTCTAAATTAAAACACACGGATCTACCTTATACGATCTGCCGCAAATCTACCCTTGTTCTATGACACGATTCTGTCTAGACCCACCTAAATCTGTTATTTACATAAGTGAAAATCATCATGACATATTAGTACTTTCGCACATGTTTGCACAATATTTTATCATTGGGAATAGAAAAGGCAGATATTCTCGCTGAGATATATTACCGTCGACTCAGAGCGATCTTTTTACAGAACAAGTTTTCAATAAAATGAGAGGGGGAAAAATGACTGGGCGTTTAAGATAACAGTGCTCTTTATAGGGTAACGGGGAAAGGTAATTGTTATCAGGAGTTTAGAAGATTTTCGAGATTCGGATCTTGTTTGCTCTGCTGTTGACAAGCTCTTCAATTAAATTCGCAAACAAATTTTCAAAAGAAACTTGATGATTTGTAAAAAGAAAAGGGGTTAATACAATTTGGAACCCCGTTAAAATTTTATTCTTAATGAACCGACTTGAACTAGATGCATTTAAATTTTTTGCATATATCCTCTGAATAGTTTGAAAACTATTATAAACCGGTTGGTATACATATTGAAGAGCCGAATCTTTTGAGTAAACAAACTTATTTCATGATATTAAATGACAAAAAAAGGGTTATTCTTAAATCCAGCCAAGTTCATTAACTTTAATTTATTTTAACCATTTTTTATTGAGTTCTTTTAAGTTCAAACGCAATATAGTTTGAACTTTATTGGGTTCTTCCCTGGAGTTGAAGAGTTCCACTAAACGAAAACCAGTGTGCAATACTTTTAATGTTGATATATGGATTTATACACCTCTTCGCAAACAATTTTTGATGAAAAAAATTTGGAATTTATGTTTTGTAATTTTTGTACATTTTTCTTTGAATAATGCAAAAATTTTAATCTATATAAATTTATCAAGATAATAACAAAGGTACAAAAGTTTAGTCATATTGAATGACGAAGGTAAGGATGAATAGTGATCTACAAATAAAGTATAATTAAAGCTGTGAACAAGGCATAAATCATGCATAGACCTCCGGAAACCCCAGAAGTGGGACAACACGCGTAGGGAGATTAACAAACGAGGTTAACTTATACAATGTAGACTATAAAAGTAAACTAATTGTTAATTTTATACGACTTCGTTGATTTCCCTGTAACATTAACTTATGTTGTAGATTGCTGTCTCTGAGACTCATGATCTACTCAGAGCCATCGTCGCAAACACGACCAAAATGTACGATCCTCTCCCGTAGGAGGAAGCTATATGCGGACTCCGAACCGTGGCTTGTGACGATGTTTCAGAGCATACTATAGTACTCTTGAGAATTGTAATTAAAAATACGTTAGAAGACGAAACAACACATGCAGATGAACGCTTCAAGATCAAGTTCCGAGATTTTTGTAAATGCAGAGTTGTATGTATTTAACTGTCTGCTGGAACCTTACTATTAAAATTCTCGTAGTTGTTTTCTCGAAAACCGCCTGTCGTAACTATGGCAGCGTTATCAAAGTCTACCTCGGTGATCCATAATTATATCCCACGCAACAAGTTGCGTGAGGTATAATGTTTTTGACCCGTCCGTTAGTCAGTCAGAGTGTCAGTCCGTCTGTCCTGTTTTTTTTTGTCAGCGCAACTCTTCATAAATCGCTGCATACAATTTCGTCAAACTTTGCAGATATTAAGGGCACAATGTGTAGATGTGCATATTACCAGGAAATTCCGATTCCTTTACTTTTTCCGGGATTTTCCACAATTTTACACTTAGATTTTTTGCCATATCTTGAATATAGAGATGAACTGTTTGTCAGCACAACTCCTCATCAACCGCTGCACACAATTTCGTCAAACTTTGCAGCTATTTAGGACACAATGTGTAGATGTGCATATAACCAGGAAATTCTGATTCCTTTATTTTTCCGAGAATTTCAGCACTTCGACTTTTGAGGGAGCGTTGGGTATGTGAGCTTGCTCACTTTTTCTTTCATTATTTAGCAGCGAGAGTTATCGCCCGTAATATGTTACGTCATCAGAGACAACTTTCGACTTCGAAACTGAGAGCGAGCAAGGAAGTTCACTTTGTTTACAGTTCAGTTAGAGATAATTATGGTGCAATGCGCTGCACTAAACTGCACTGTTCAATCGCCAATCGGGACAGGAGTTGAGCATGTTTCTCTTCCCAATCCACCCCAAGTTCCGAAAGAATGGATTTTGAAGCAGAAGAGAAACAAATTTAACCCAAGTGATAACTCTAAATTGTGTGAACGTCATTTCACCAGGGATCAGTTTACGATCAACGAGTTAGCATCTGCTATTGGATTTCAGACAAAATGTAAAGTTTTGATTACCGGGGCAATCCCCACAATATTTGACTACTCTGATCCCAGAAAAAGACCAAGTTCGGATTTAGCCAGCAGAAACCCGTCATGTACCTCCACCAACCAAGAGAAAATCCACAGCTGTTGAGAAAAGAAGTCGCATTGCTCATTTTAAGGCAAGAGATTTTTAAAATATTAAATGAGGGGCATTTACAATTCATTATCAGTTTGATCAAAGTCACGTACATTATAATATATAAATTACTTCTCTACAAACGAGTAATAGTACACGGGATATGTACAATACCGCAATATGATCATGATATATTTGTGTAAATGTAAAAAACAGAATATGAAATGTATGTGTATACTTCATTGCAAATGAAAAAGGAAGCAGAAACACTAAATAATCTGCATCAATGAATGACATAACTCTAGTAAATAAGCCAGCTGTATTGCATATTATATAAATTTCAATGTATAAACTTGGATAGGGTTTTTTCACAGAAATTTACCTTCGCCTATAAAAGAGGTTAAGGAATGTATGGATTTATGTGAAAACATTCTATTGTATCTTTGGCATATAAGTATTTCAGGGTGAATTTACATGATTTTAATTCATTAACATATGAATGAATTTAAATTAAATTCCATCCTTAAAAATTAACTTAATAGAAAATCATGCAGTGGGAGATGTTTAATATTGTAAATCCATAAAGTCTAAATGTGTTGTTTCATGTATTAGAACTTTCTTACAATTTTACATTAAGTATATTTTTTCACAGGTATTAGATGAAGCCTTTGCTCTCAAGAATGCCTCCCAGTTCAATGATGCCTCTGCCTTAACAGAGAATGTTGCCAGTATAACTGAGGATGGAAAGGCTCAACCCAAACTGGATATAAATACAGAAGTCAACAGCAGCTCCAAGATAATTCGATCATCATATTATCTAGCTGTAGGTTTATTTTATTAGCCAACTTAACTTTAAAACTTGTTTGCATTTCATAATTTTTTAGAGTTAAAGTATTTAAATTAATTATTTTACTACATAATCAATTCTGAATTTTATGTTTTGTTCTTTTATTCTATATTACTCTGTCACTCCTGTCTAAAAATAACGATATTTGAACAGGTATTTTGGGTCTACACCTGGTTTTAAAAAATACACACAATCATAGTTTTTCAATAGTTGTTTTTAATGAATGGATAAAACGATTTTAAAATTTATTTTTACCGTACCTGGCCTTTAATAGGAAGTCAGGAATATATATCATGATAACGATTGACATGATTGATATACTGTGCAAGATCAAATGTTTGTTGAACTTCTCCTATCCATTTTAATTGGATATTTTATTTTAGAAGCGACGCCATGTAAAACTACAAGCAGAATTAAACATTTTATCTCCTCCTGAGGTGGAAAAGATTTCCAAGGGAACTCAGACTGAAGTGAGTTGCATGCATGTTGCTGAATATTTTGAAAACAGCTTCCTGACATCCACAGATGAAGGGGACGACAATGACATAGACTCGGACTGGGTTCCGGAAAGTGAGAATTAGGAGCAGGATACTGAACAAGACATTAAGCCTGCTAAGGAAAATAGATTGATAGTTTTTGAATCCTGTTTAGATCAATTGTTTACATCTTGCTACAGTTGTGGATGCCAATCAATGTACATTAAAAAGAGACTATCATAGGTTCGTACATTAGCATTCAGAGTTTATGTGAAAACTGTAGACCTCAGAAAAAAATGGGAAAGTCAGGCTTTATCTAGTGCCATGTTCCTTGGAAATTTGATCATTGCAGGAGTTATGTTGTTTTCTGGGGGCAGTGTTCACAAGTTCTAAACTTTGTGTAGACATGCTTCAGTTCAGATGTTCAGCATTGGAACATACATGAAAATTCAGTCATTGTATTTAGTCCCAACTACAGAAGATGTTCGGCAAAGAGAGCTGTTACATCTCTTCACAGCAGCACAGGAGTCTGGGGAATATCTTTTCAAATGTCTTAATATCTTTCATACACTTTGATGGATTTAAGACATAAAAAATCCTGGATACACAGCTTGTGCAAGTAATTCAAAACTATTAAAACAGAGAAAAATTGCTAATTTTGAAATTAATTCAACATTATGTTTTACGTAGATATTTCTGAATTTTCTTGAAGTAAATTGAATTATGAGACAGAATTTATATTTTTTTCTTCATGTTCTTTAAATGAAATACACGTTTTTTTTGTAATCATGGAAAAATGAAGTTAGAAACTCGTATGCCATGGAGCTGGAGGGTTTACTAAGAGGGCTTGCCAGAATTGCAGGTGAGGATCTACAGATTTCACATTTGGTTACTGACCGCCATTTTCAGATAAAAAAAAAAGTACATCAATAAATAATACACTCGTTTGATTGCTGGCACATTGCTAAAGGTAACTTTCCTTTATTATTATATATGCACTATACATCTGATCATGTGTTCAAAATTATTATACAAATATGTTTGAGTGTCAAAACAAACATAAACATGTACCTGATATAAACATGTATAAGGTAAAACTTAATTTGTTAGCTAACTGGGACCCTGCCTCAAGGTGTAAAGTTTACATGTATTCATGGAATGATAAAAGTTGTCTGTTTTTGATAGTATTCAAAAACTTGTTAAATAATCTGTGT